TTTAACATTTACTAATCCCCTGATGACCAAATACTGCGGTTATGGTGAGATTCCACCTCTTACCTTTTGGATCAGCGTTGGGAAAGAGACGGTTCCACGGCACTTTGCAGCGCAAAGGCAGTGACAAGAGATAGTTCCTGGCTTTAATGTTGATGATGCAGTTGAGATCCTCCTGTGAGGGAGAACCCAGAATTGGCACTTGGCTGAATCCGAGCAGAGAGTATAGCCCTGTGCACTTCTTCTAACAGGATGCCCGTTTCATTACATTCCTGCACCATGTTTGACAGAGGATGTGGTGTGCTTTGGGTTAATGAGCCGTTTCTCTCCTCCTCCGTAATTTTCTCTTGATTTCATCTTTCCAAAGAATATTTGAAGGCTCTTTTAGACGTTTGCTGCCAGTCTAATCTGGCCTTCCTGGTCCTGAGTGTACAAGGTTGCATTTGGATTGATTGCAGACTTTGATATGTTTACCTACTCAAGAGTGACAAAATTCTCTGAAACTGTTTTTATTAACCATGAAAATAATTTGGCAGTCATCCACTTCAGTTGCTTGCTGTGGTATTTCAGATGCATCGTTGTTGCTGAGCTGACGGGTGCATCCATTCGTTTTAGCGGGGACTGGTTCTTGTAAGATGCTTTTCTGCTTTATTTGAACACCTAAAAAAAATTTCTAACTACAAGAACAATTCACACCATAGTCCTCTATGCCGTTTATATTCAACTGATGCAGTTTCAGTTATTAAAACTTTCATACAGTGCTTAACAAACCTGTCAGATCACCTGTCATAGAAACAAGAAAACACATATCAAAGTGTTTGGCACTGTATATGCCCTGATAGTAATCACAGAAAAACACCTTTAGCTGAGATATTGTATCTCAAACAAAAGAAGGTGCAGCAGATTTCTATAACAAAGCAAAGCGTCACTTCCCAGTATGTTTATGACTTCATCAGATAACAGGACATGAGCCTTTTTCACTTTTTCATAATTAATCTTTTGCTCATACCGA